TAAGACAATGTTCTGAAAGCAACCACGACTACCGTGTTCTGCCTAGTAGCGACAACCTTATTCTTCATTATCTACCAAGATGCACAAAAAACCACCAGAAGCATACGATCTGAGGTGAGCTGTTCAAAGAAAGGAACCCCTCCTACCTCAGATGCATTAATCGCATGTCATGTACTCCCTAATTTTGAATGGGCTCTCAAAATTGCCTTGGAAGTGTCACGCTATTATTTCACTGAATTTCCGAACACATGGAGGTGAAAGTCTTCGATCCTCCAAATTACCCTTATCGAGGGGTCAAGTGCTATACGCCACTCTAGCCAAGGACATTACTTTCCCTTTCCCTCAGCTATGTTTTTTCCCTATCCACACAACTTCAGGGAACGTGGGAGGAATAACAAGTTGACAACGGAACAGTTCGCCGTTTAATTCCACAAAGGTGAACACTGCTATTATAAAGATAACTTAATATTTATTCTTTCTTTTACAAGCTTGCACGAGGCTGACAAATTAGGTTCGTTTTCAACTTCGTGTAAGCTTATTAAAGAAAGAATACATATGAATGTGTCGTTTTCTTGTTCAGCAATCGCGAGGTTTTTAAACAGCGTACATTAGCTTCCATAGAAGAACACAATACAATACAACGCTAGCTGATGTTTCGGCAGTGTCGCCTTCTTCAGAGCCTGGAAGGGTATGCTGATATGCTGGTATATATTCAACATTCAAAAAAAACGACACATTCATATTCCAATGCCGAGGTTAAAGAAAAGTCGGTTTTGAAATAAAAAAAAAACTGTTTGTCCTAACATACAAGTAACTCAACAAAAACGATAAAGGTATTTATTAAAACTGAAAAAAAAATGTAGAATTTTTGGATAAAGGCATTATAAAAAACCATGAGCACCGTGAAAGAACAAGAAAGAGAACTATCCTTATATAACGAAATCTGTGGGTTATAGTTCAAGCATGAAAGCAGATGTCAAACCCAGGAAGTGCAGACGTAATATGTTGTGACTCATTTCGTTAGCAATCCGTTTCCACGGTGACGTCATCGGTTCCAGAACCGTTTGACGAAACGTCAGTATCAAAGGGCACCAGTTATCTACACGACCACAGTGCTTCAAACTAATTTGCAATCCATTCAAAGCGATTTTAGCGCAACAGTATCATTTACAAATATGCAATGAATAACCAATTTGGAACAAAGATTTTTTTAGAAAAGGATTCACTTCATGTTGCAAATGACAACACTTTATTTAGTCAGCCTTTTTCTTGTATTCGTTACACATGGAGTTCTTCGACTTTGTGTCCGTGGTTACTGGTCGTCATTAACGGCTTTGTCCGTTTTATGATTCAAAAGACCGACTTTCTATGAACCTTGGCATAAATAGTCGTTATATTTATTTAGGGCGCGTGTGGCGCAGTTGTTGGACACACATGTGGAATCGGTTCCCACGCCCATGGCCCACCAAGCCTTCCATCCCTCCGGGGTCGGCAAAGTGGTACCAGACTTGTCTGGGAGGATAGCAGCACTGACTCGACGCATCGGTAGGCCACCACGAGTCATTGTAAAGGCCAGATATGCATTCAATCACCTCCAACGATACTTAATGAAGCCCTTCCTACCTCTGCTCAGTTTTTGTGCACACGCTGGTGGCTGTATGAATCTGTTTGTTACAAGCGCTCTTTTCATTTGATGGGGTAAAAGGAGAGGTAATGAACCAGCACGTTTTTACCGCTTGGATTTCCATAACATTTCGTATTTAAGCCGCTTTCCGATAAGATAATTTAGCTGCTCGTAAATGGAAGCCTTTTAGTTTTTTCGGGTAAGCTTAGTGTACTCTGAATGTTCAATCAATTTCTCGGAAAATTTGTCTATTTCTTTCCGTGTTGAGTAAATGGCAAAGCAGTCGTCTATATCTCTACAGTAGAGTAATGGGCAGAAATCGTTACTGGTGTTTCCACCTTAGGTGTAAATCCATTGCTAACCCTCTTATTTGAGTGTAGTGCTTTTAGGACCATCTGAAGATTGATCAGCTCAGGCATTGTTTTAAGAGTGTCACCAATTGCTGTGCCGTGAAGATAGACATGTTTATTGCTCGCTCGTGTCGCGTACGGAGCTCGAGGATGGCTTGCGTATCGGAGTTGTTCGGCACGTCTGTATAAAGGGCGGTATCGACGAGACACTACTCCATTACGTACTCGCTATTAGAACGCGCATTAAGTAGACGATCCACTAACATTTGGGTATTCGTAAGGTGGGCTGTAATATGTTTTAACAAAAGTGAGTGAGAGAGTTAAAGACCGCATTTTTCTATCCGTTGGACCATCTACACAGCTAATGGTAGGTCTTACACTGAATAACGGTGAACGGGTGGACAATACTGGTCGTGTTGGTAAATCAACTTGGAGCTGAAAGATAACTGATGATTTTGAACCAGTAGACTTCGCCATTTTTAACCTTTCATTTTTAACCTTTAATTCATTGTTCAATTTTCGGTGTTGACGGGACAGGTAGTCCACATTGTGTCCGTATAAAAGAGCACCTATTCGGCGAATTTAAACTTAAGCCAAATACTCCAATAGGAACTTAGGACACAGAGACATAACGAGGAAGATTTTCAAGTAGAAGCTGTTATCCTGGAATAGGAACGGAAAACACCGGTTTGTAAAGCTCTCGAGGCATCGTGGATAAATTTCAAGAGCCCAGAAATAAACCACAGGTGAATGCCTCGTAATGACCCGTGATCTCACCCAAAATTTAAGACTGATATTTTAATGCGAGAGGCACATTATGCTTCCATGTAAACTGTGCGCGATTGGTCTCTTCGTGACATTCTCATTCGAAGACTTATAGAAGGCAGTGAATGCCATAAGAACTTTTTTGTTTTAAATACGGTTGAAATCTTGGTTTCGAAATTTTCCTGCTTCGTTCTAGAGGTGTTTGGTTCGGTAGATTGCAGTCAACTTGACCTTGCCAGGATCTGAAAAAGGCGAAATCCACTGAAACGTTATCTTGTCCGTAAGTAAGAGATAAAGCAATAGTTCGTATTTGCCCATCAAAAATATGGAGATTTATTTGATCAATGCCGCGGTTAGCAGGAAGTTAGTTGTGGCAAGTTTTCTAATTCAACGTTGCATTTTGCGCTCGTTAACAATTCCTTGCTCATACACCTTGGTACTGTCATCTGAAATTCTGGTCTTTAACCATAATGATGCCAAGATGCCGTTGCCGTTGACGGGTGATTGCTGATGGCAAAAAGATCGATAGAACTAGCTGAGAGACATGCAAAGCGAAGGACCCGGATGGTGTAGTGGTGAAGTGCGCTGCTCCCCGGTAAGGACAACAGCGCGTGTTCATTCTCCACTGCATACACCTGTGGTCCGGAGTTTTGCAAATATCTCAGCATTTTATACGATGCCAAGATATTTGCAAAACTTCAGACCGCAGGCGTTTGCGGTGGGGATCGAACACTACTTTACCCTTTTCGGGCTGAGACGTTCACCACCACACTATGCGACTTCTTCGTTTCGCCTTTCTCTCAGCCGTTTCTCTGTCTTTAAATTTGTCAAAAGCAGAGTTTATATTAGAATTTAGCAGCGAAACTCCAGAAACGACAATTCCAAAAGAATAGAATAGTGCAGCATTGAAAAAAGCTACTGTTAGAACATATAGAAAAAAAGCGAAATTACAAATCGGGCGGCAATTTGCAGTCAACATAAGACAGCAAGTCTTTCAGTTTTCTTATCCCCCTCTTAAAATAAAATGGAAAATTTTAAGCGTAGTTGTTGTTATGAAGACAATAATGCTGAGATATAACCAAAACTGAAAGCTTCAGGTGGCCTTCGAACCCACGATTACTCTTTTAGCGGCTCATGTGCTCTCCAATAAACCAACCCCCTCGGTTGGCTAGCTTTTCTCTGAGCCAGTTTTTTTATTGCCAATAAGACTATGCCCCTCTACTAAGTGATATGACGTCGTATTTCAGACGGTTCCACCACTCATTGTCGCCTGGACAAATTACTTCTCAGAGTCTTTGAAAGCACCACTTCTCTCTACCCTCACCAGTTGTACGTATCATTGCGATTTCATTGACAGAGATGAGCAAAAGTTGCGGTTAGTTTATTTTTCGAAGTTGTCGATATTTTTTGAAAAAATAGCATATTATTGGACATGTTGTCATTTGCATGTGGCGAAGTATTTTCTTGTGCAGACAGCTCTTCCTATTAGGAATCATGTGGTCCTAACACACAATCCATGTGTTTGTCTCGGTAGCAATGGCTTTCGGAGATCATCACAACAGGAATACCATAGGTCGAAACTGCAGAGACAGGAAAGAACAATCCCGAAGTTCTCCAGAACTTCGCCCTTATAAAACCAAGATGGTTGTACACCGAATCCAAAACTGAAGATTTTTTCCTTTTTATTTTATGAGAAAAAGTTTCATTTTATACAACCAGCATTCACGTCTACTGTGCTGATCCTAGCATTTCTCGCATTCCATTCGTTTTCTACCGTCCATCATCCACGAAAGTCTTCAAACTTCTATCAGTTACTGCTTTAAAATTTTCATTTCATTTTGAAAGTCGTAGAATGCTGGTCCAGTTTATTCTCACTGGAGTCCTAAGATTGTCGAGCTTAACGTTTCCAATTCAATAATGCTGAGATATTTGCAAAACGCCGGACCGCAGGTGTCTGCGGTGAGGAACGAACGCGCTATTGTCCTTTCCGGGGAGTAACGCGTTCACCACCACACCATGCGGGTCCGATTCCGTTGAGGGGTGATTGCTGATGGCAAAACATCGATTAATAGGCTAGAGTAAGTGATAAGGAGGTTCTGAAAACTCCTAGAAAAGCGCAGAGAGTGTGAGAGTGCTAAACTAGGTATAAATTCTTTCCTACGTAATTTAGCAACCGTGATGCTTCTGCTTACGTGATCCATGGACGCGACATAAACACCTCTGAGTTACCTTCGTCGCCATCGAGCAGTCTACATGTTTTGATGCTCATGGAGTCACCTTACCACACTGGGAATGCGATTCTTAAGGTGAAGCACGCTAAAGCAACCAAACAATTTTTGAATATTCATCTCCTTAATTACTCGAATATTCATAAGCGGACGCAACCACAAACAGTGTATAGATGAAGCTCTTCCTGTGTACCGTTGAATCAGAATAGCTTTCGAAATCCTGGCTGCTTAATTGACTGGGACTCCACTCAAATTCATTTGCTTTTAAGAACATGTTATCGTAGAGGTAGTAGTTTCGGATATAGTTTATAGTTTCATGTCTAGTGTAATTTTTTACCAAGAAATTTAGGGATTGAAACGATAGTTGTTTAGTGAAAATGCAAAGGGGTAAGAGGTGCTAGTTCGACCTCTCACACAATCCACGTGGAGAAGCCATCGCTCAGTTGTTTTGTGGACTGCAAGGAAAATGACCTGACCTGTATTCTAGTATAATCATAAATGAAACGTAACCTTCAAGAAGCAGTCGCACCTACACACAAGCTATTCTATGACCTTTGTCTACGATGAATGCAAGGTAAACGAGTCAAATGCAAAAATCGTTAGGATCCACATAGTAGAGGTGATGAAATGTCACGTAATAATAATAAAGAAAAAAGATAGAAAAAACAGTGTTTCCGCCTACACTGATGTCTACGAATCTCCGTCACAGAAGGATCTCCTGACGACAAGTCGATAGGCAGCGTTACCGTCCACGGTTGGCGGATTCGTGGTTAATCGCATAGCAAAAGCGATCTTATTCTTCTCTGAGACATAGACGTATCCATGGGATCGACTCCCTGTTACTGTGGCGGTAATATGGCACATACCTTCTGTGTGCACGAAGACGTATTCGTCCATCTGTAGGCGCGTTCTCGTTCATGCAGGTTATATTATAAAAATCATTTTGGCGAGGAAGGAGCCTGCAATCAAATGACTATGAACAATATAGGTGGTGGTTGGGCCTGGCTTCCAACAAATGCTCATCTTCTACTGGCAAGCTACCCATAAATGTATCCAGCTCCAATGCTGGGAACCCAGATAGCTGTCTTTTTACCAGTTGCTAAGTAGTAAAATAGGTAGGTCTTATATTCCACAGCTCGAAAGATCTCCGATGCGGTAGTGTTGAGTAGGACGAGTATGGAGAGGCTGCTAAAATCTCCGAACCGCTGCAGTCTGCCCTAATTTCAAAAAGATAAGGTGACGATCTTTTTTATTAACAAGCATTACAAATCGAGGAATGTACCTAAACGATATAGCTGTTGTCCTAAAATTCTTCACCATATCGGACCACCATTTTCTTCCGCAAGATTCCTTCTCTCGCTGAGAGGAGAAAAAGCAGCTAAATTCGAAAAACTGAGTTTCAAAACAACCATAAATTGGGATTTATTCAGTCCATTAGTCATCTACTAAGAAGACGCCGTTCTCGATAACATCGACGAGGAATACGATCGGCTCATTCAACGTCTTCACGTTAGCACAATGGAAGCCGAAAATTCTAAATTCCGGACTGCTTTTGTGCATCTAGTCGAGAAATGGGTTTAAGTGGAAAAGACATCCTGTGGACACATGCGAGCATGAAACACTCCGGCAAATGTGGTATTTGGCTTCTCCTTACGTGCTATTCAATCGGAGATTTAGCTGTCTCTTAGCGCTTTCTTTGTGATCTTGTAGTATCCGCACTGTAGAGCGAGGGCGGCTTACTACTAGTAGATCTGTTATTGGTGGACTGTTTGTTTTCCCTCGATCCTCGAGTAGCCTGGTTAGTAGGTTTTTAACTCGAAAGACCGAATTTCTATAAACCTCGGCATAGATAGTTGGTATATCTATTTATGTGATTTTATAAACTGATCTTCTTAAGCTGACGCGAGGTTGGTACAGGTGTTACGGTGTTAGATGTTACGTGTGGGGCTCATCACGGCTCTGAGGAAGTCGTCGAAACGTCGGCCATCGATCAATAACATCAAAAACAACGACAACAACAACGAAAACCTGTATCAACCTCGCGTCAGCTTAAGAAAATCGCTTTATAAGATCACATAAATAAATAGTAGGTTTTTTGTTCCTCACCAAAGAATTTGCTTAGCATTTTGAATTTCAAGAAATTCTAAATTTTGGAACTAGTTTTCTGTTTAAAGTTTTTTTTTAAAGTTTAGAGTAAAAAAGCTAAATGAATCGTTTTAACCTGCTTATAGGGTTTTAATTCTAGGTACCTCCACATTATTTCAACGCGACCATTACCTATAGAAGGGACTCGCGCTATTTCCATCCGTATGGGTATTTTGTACAACGGACGGGTGAGGAGAAAGCAAACGATGTGATCACCAACGAGCAGGTAGGCGCATTTCATTAAATGGATCTGATACCCAAGAATTACTGTTTCAAAAGTTCTTCAGCTGCTGGCTGGAGTTAAGAGGAAAAAAAGAGGTTCACTTATATTTGTCTCGAACTGCAAAACTCCTTCGAAACGAGAAGACCTAATCAAGTACGTTTCTCAAAAAATCATTAAGCATTGCTATTCGATTTCGAGTAAGGAGTTCTAAAAAATCAAAATAAAAAGTTAGAGCAAATTCTACGGCTGAGAAAAACTCGAAAGAATTGAAACAAATGTTGTCAAATAAGACTTCCATGCTGATCCTCTTCTTTCATAGTAAGTGGATGTGAACATCATTTTCCTCTCCACAGTGTTTCCCAAACTTCCTTACTGCAACTCAACCAGCTTTTTAATAACTAATAGGGCACTCCTCGAAACAAAAGATGATTTGCTAGCTTTTCTTTGCCTTAAATACCACTTTAACATTCAGAGAACTTGGAAGATTCACACCGATAACTGTTAGAGGTGCTTGTGAAAGTTGGCTTTCCGTCGGCGAAGAAACGAGATCGTATTCATGCAAGGAAGACTGTGATGAAGAAAGTCTAATAGGTTGTCGGCTTCACCATTGTATCTATATACCTCACAGTATCACTACTCATGAGTAGCTGGCATTATTTTTAAAGAGTTTTCCTTATTCTTTATATTCTTGTTGAGCAAACACGTTACATGTTATTTTATTTTTTATTCGCGATTACGTTTATTCCTTAGTCTCTCATTCCATTCTTTATTCATTATATTTTTTTCTTGATGGCACTGATCGATAGAAAACTAGCTGGGAGGCAAGCTAAACGAAGGACCCGCATGGAGTGGTGATGAACGCGTTAGTCCCGGTAAGGGTAATAGCGCGTTCGTTCCTCACTGCAGACACCTCCGGTCATCAGTTTTCCAAATATCTCAACACTATTGTAGTCGTATTTCTTTTTATTTGCTCAACAGGAATATATTAGAATTATTTGATTAATGCTGAGGTTGACAGAAAGTTGGTCGTAAGAATTCTTCCTTATAATGGCTTTAAAATGCTCGAACAATTAAAAACAGCGCTTCTTGCTTCATTAAACCATGACTTGAACACCAGTTTGATACCCATAGTTTTTCGTAAAAAATGAAAGTTGAAGAGACCCGAGGATTTGATAGTTCACAGGACATCCTTGAGAGAGAATGCAACCATAAATCGTCAGCACTAGATGTCGAGAATTCATTAACCTGGGAATTTTGCCTTACACAACTCCATTCATTCCCTTCCTCATCCAATCCAAAGTTCATCTCTTACAAGGCAAAAAGTAGCCATGCTTATCTTACAACTGCAAACTGCACGCTTTGTTTTATAAAATATACTCGTATGCACACTAAGAATACCTTGCCCTCTTCCTTCACTTCTTTAAATACTTTTCCTTAAACTTGAATAATGGCGATTCTGAAACCTCTGAACAATTGCTCTAAGCTGAGCGACTTTAGAAGCACCAATGCAAATGGCTCATCATACCGTGCGTTAGTTGTAGAACACTACCAGGTTATTGCCACTATCCTTTTTCACAGCAAACTTTTTTGCTCAGTCTTACCGCTTTGTTATTTTTCTACATTGATGAAAAGAGGGCAGTAGGAACTAGAGCTTTATAAAATAAGAATGAAATATATACGGTGCCTCCCTAACAGTTTGGTTGGAAACCTTTTCATCATGTATGATGTACCTGGGAACTAATTAATTAATGGAGCCCAGTTAATGGGACATCCTCAAGGCCTGATGAACGCCTAGCGCTTCATGCATTATCCTTTATCACGTCCTACTACCGATTGGAACAAATTCCACAATAAAATCAATATTGCCTCGTCTAACCTTTTAGCTACTCATCGATTCTATATTTCATTCGAGAACAGTATCTGTAACGACTACATCACGGAAAAATTCTTTATGCGAATCTCTCAAATGCTTATACCAATCGTTGTAAAAAGACGAATTTATGAAGGTATGTGGAGGAATTGTGTCATTTCCTCGATTTAGTAAAAATAATTAGCTCTTATTAAAATAGTTGGTTAAGACGCTGGTATTCCGTGGGGATCATTTATTGCTCTGGATGATTTTGGAAGTATGAAAGAGCTAGGAGATCGTCTAAGAGTTTTACAGGCTAACGACACGGAGTACTTAAAGTGAGTCATAGTTTACAAGACCTAACCTGTATATCAAAGTCATATCGAAGCTTCTTGGTAGCTCTAATAGCGATATTTTAGATAGGCTAGATAATGTACGAATTCGTAGTTTCTTCTCAAATCTCATGAACTACAACTTTTGCGTTCTGATTAGAGAACGCGTAATCTTGATGAAGCCAACGCCTTTATTTTATGAATCTGCGTTTCATGGAGTGCTGAAATGAAGGGACACGTGAAGTTACTATAAACGCTAAACTACAGAAAAATCTAGATTTTAAGAAAATAGCACTTTCAAAAGAGTTTGGCTTCCTAAACCGTCATCGAGGGGTAGATCGACTAGTCGCAGGATCAACCACTGTGTTGTGAGTACCTAAGTACGTGAATTACAAGGCGGCAAACTTGCCGCGGATCCATTGGAGCCGGCGAATGCAACTAGTGAAGACCTGAGAGCGTACTAGCACGACTATTTCGGAATTTTAGGAAAGATCATTCTGGACCACTATCCAATATGTGAACAGAGGGAGAACGTGATGTACCTCAAATCGAAGCAGAAAATGACGCGAAACTGATTGCTGCCATGGATGACTATAGTCAAAGAAAAAATCCAAATTTCCAAAAAGCCAAAAACTGTTACTGTAGTTATTGGTACGACGGCTATTTTTACCGTCTTGGTGTTTTAACATCCCACAGTGGTAGTCGGACACTTGTTTGTCAAATAGCCAAGCACAGTAAACAGTCATAGTTAACAATAATAAGAAGGAGCTTCATATTTCGGCCCTTCTGCTTCATCTGAACCTGAAAACCAACTTCGATGACATCCTCCGTCGACCATCTTTGAATGTCACAATTTGTCAATTTTGGAACAAAAAAAATCTTACAATTTGAGCCAAATTCGACTTTAAGAGTTCTTGTGTTCCACGCACATAAGTATTTGTGATGGTGAGATATCCAGGTATTCAATGTAAGTGTTCGCGGTTCACAATGAGACCCTAGTTGTCATGAGATCCGACAAAAGTGTTTTTTTAAATTTTTTTTGTAATTCTAAAGAAGCGGCAAATTAATTGAGTATTCTTGAGATATTTCGAGTGGACAACGCATTTCCGTAAACCGGCTGCTTACAAAGGAGATGCGTTATGCAAACTTTGCGAAGATATCTATCACAAGAACGAATTCCACATTGATGACATTGTCACATATTATAAAGACGGCCAGTGTCAGGAATCTTAGCTTCGGATATGTCAAAGCTTAGATCTGCAGTACATTTGCAAAAGCTCCCTTTACCATCTCTATAATTGCCATATCTCTGTTCTCTGTCATTCATTGCAAATTGGTAAGAAGTTGTTCAACTGAATTACTGATCTTATTAATTAATACAGTTTATTTCGAAGATTCTCTTAATTTTCTTGCTTTTCATACTACCCTGATTTTGGAGAAATTGAAAGCTGAGGTTAATTCAACCGTTTTGCTTTTTCATAGCTTATCTCCTATTACATGACGAACGGATGACGTTTAGCACCCCGACGCTTGGAACGGTGTTTAATTTTCGGCCTTTATGGACTTACTGGTCTATTTTTCTATTTTGAAAATAAGCGATAATTTTTCACTAAATATAAGACCTAAGGTGTTAGGAATATGGAAGGTAGTAGAAGAGGCTTTGTTCAGTGGTTCCTTAAGTACGAAGGATACTTATGCTACTACTTACTATACGTTACAATGCTCCATTATATAAACATATTGTTGTCAGCGTTTAAAAGTGTGTTGCAACTCATGTTGTTTGTCTATTTCTACATATTTTATACTCGCAATTCTACACAACAACCACTACCCATCATTACGACTGAAGGTGATCAACTGCCACTTAAATTACCAGTCAGTGAAATCGTTCGAAAAAAGGTTTTTGTATATTTCTAAGGGTGGTATAGACCGTTTCCCCGCTATCACTCACCAAAATATCCATTGGCTGTCCAATGATTCGAAAAGGGTAGGGAAAAGAAACTATGGAGCAAAAAAAACATCAGAACGTGAATGATCCTAATAGGCATCACATAGGCCGCTCTGGGGGCCGCAAATGGGGGCTGTGGAGGAGGTATTCGACCATTTCGTCCGTTTTGTGTTAATGGATGCTCTGCGTGCCTTCACCTTCTCCAGTCGTCACTTTTGTAACACTAAACTAAACATCAAATTTACTCCACTGTTGTTTACTTTGAGGCGCTATGTTATAGAAAGTTCAGTACCGAATAAGTTCATCGTTTTGTGCGTGATATGTCGCATATTGTAATTGGACTGTTATCCTATAAAGAAAAAATGCATTATGTATTGGTTGTCAGCAGCAACACGTAAAGAAGTCGCCGTTATGATATTTTTCCGTGCCACCACAGAAATTTTAACTGTAGTAGCGAGTGAAAGCTAATTACTTTCGGGTCACTGAACTTGGTTTTCTGTGTATTTCTAAGTGCAGAATAAGGGTTAACCGAACTACTGCCTGTGGAAACATGTGCGCTTAATGATCCAGTAATCCGAACACTCTACTCCGGCTGTCTAATAACTTCTAGGAAAATCGATTCGATCACCATTCAGCGTTATTCAAAGCAACAGGAAAACCATCAAGCAGTAGCAGGCCCGAAATGAAGATATTGGGAGGCATTCGCGGATGATGGATGCGTGAAAACAAATAGAATGTGAGAAGCGCTGGGATCCGAACAGTAGATGTGGAAGACGGGAAGGAGAAATACGGTAGTCATTAAACATAAGGTTTTAAAACCACACTCATAACGTACGTAGGGTTCATCATCACAGATCTCCCAGAACTTAAGCCAAAACACCGATTTTGTCACTTGTTCAAAAAATGAAATGCGACATTTTGGAGTCTTCACTAGTACATTAGATTTTTCTATAATTTGTTAACAGCAGTAGCTGTGAGTGAAAATTGTACAAAGAAGTATAAAACTCTCGGCGTTGATCAATCGTTGAGGGTTGCGCCGTGCATTCGACTTCACTAAACATCGTTTGGAGGTGATTAAATGCATATCTGGCCTTTACAATGACTTGAAGTGGTCTACCGATGTATTGAGCCAGTGCTGCTATCCCTCCAGACACGTCTGTTACCAATTTTCCGACCCCGGAGGATGGAAGGCTGGGTGGGCCATGGGAGTGAGGATCGATCCCACGTGTGTGTTGCAAGGTGCCTTCAACCACTGCCCCACACTAGCACCTGCGCCATCAACGAAGGCAATCAAAAATGAAAAAATGAAAGGCTTTGTACTAGAGAGCAAAAATCAGCGCAAATGGGATTTCATGTGAAAAAATCGCTGTATGGCACATATTTTTAAACCTTCGTGCTGTTTAAGAACTTGTTTGACGCTAGTATAAAAACAGATGAAAATCGTGTAAATAGGAAAGGGAAAAATCAATAGATATTTTTTAAATCGACATTGGCTTAAGCTCACTGTGAATAGTAAATGTCTTGTTTTCTTAATAAGCTAAAAGGAACTTTTACAAACTTCTAATTCGAATAACGTTTCGGCGCCTTTATCTCCTTCAGCACCGCAGTGACTAAAGTCGATGCCCTGCAGTCATATATTGCTGTAGCATGGGTCATCCTTGTGACATCGACTCGAATTATGTGGACTGCGTGAACCGCGCAAACAAAATGACGAAGTAAACTTCATTGCCAGTGCAATTTTATAGAAAACGATTCCTAGTTGGCTCATGAAATAGATTTCCATCGGCTGAAAATTAGCGGACAACCACACTTACGCCATGTCCTAACACAATTCAAGAGACTTCGATGGATGCGGGCTTTGAACGAACTACCAATTCTACTGTGCTCATATTCGGATTACTCCTATCTGAACGCAGAATACATATGTGCACACCTTAAGAATGTTCTGCTTGACAAAGCTTATAGAATATTGATGAGTTTTGAATTACGAACTGCATTGGCTGGTGTTTTCGTATTTTCGACGCCAAATCATCCAAGCCGGGAGGAGCTCCACATTTCTATCTATTAACTGATCTAAACAATTTGGGCACGGCACTTATTGGAGCCCTGCAATACACATATGGTCGTTGGTTCAATCTCATCGTTCGTGTGAACCAATCCTTTCATCCCATTGGGGTGGAAACATTCAAGCCGGGTTTATTTGGAAAGATGAAAACACTGATTTTATAACGATAAGATTTCTTAATTCACTGTACAAACTTTGCACTGAAAGAATATAATCGAACACATTGAATCGATACATGATAAGTTCTTGCAGCCACTGTATAGGCATTGTCCTATAAGATGTATATTAACAGTAAACAAATGGAAGACATTTTGGCAAAAAAAATTTAACACCGATTTCCAGGGCAAAGACTTTACTTTGAAGAAATAGGGTTCTACTTAAAGTGAAAGTGCCACGTTTTATTCTAGAGGCTTCGAATTTTCTAGAAGTGAAAAACAAGATTCTCCTGATTCCTCCTTTAATGCGAGATGTAGAGATTATCAGCTAAGGAAGCAATGTGAAAAACAAACGATAATTTCAGCTAAATTGTTATGCAAATATTAACATCGAAGATGGATATGAAATCGCAATAAATCTCTCCTCCCAATTATCCATTAAGTGATTGGCTACCATGATAAGTCGCCGCTGAGCGCCTCTACCACCGTATCCGCTCCATCGCTCTCAGTTCCACTCTAGTCATCGTCTCATTTTCACGTCGACAACGTCATCATCAGTATGCGAGAACATCGTCAGTTGACCGTCTATGTGGTGCTCATATTTCGAATGCTGGAATTTTGTCACGGAGTCAAGGTAGCCAAGCGTGTAGTGTATTTCCTAAACCTTCAGTCGACTCTATATTACATATCAGTCTCCATTATGTTTTATTTCTTAAAAATATAGGTACAACAATAAAGGATAAAGCTTTCGACGTTGATCGATCCCTGAGGGATACGCTATGTTCGACTTCATTAAGCATCGTTTGAACTTTGACTGAATGCATATCTGGCTTTTACAATAACTCGCTATGGCTCGCAAACGTATCGAGCCAGTGCTGCTATCCTTAGAGACAAGTCTGGCACCAATTTCCCGACCGAAGGGTTAGAAAGCTTGTGGGCCACTAGCACCACATGTACGTTGCAGGGCGCCTCCGACCTTCGCGCCACACGCGCCCTTTCAAAAATATGAAGGGAACATTATTTCGAGTTTTATCTGAATGGTGGGATTATTCTCTAAACGACATCCATCTTACTTCGTTCTATAAATACCAGCCATTTTCCCTCAATAGACTTTGTGACTTGAATTTTTCAACACATATTGTTAATGTGTATGTAACAACGAAAACAGCCTGAAATACAACAGTGGCCTGTTCTAAACTTTATGCCATTGGTGTTTCTTGCGACTGCTTCTCTTCACAAGGCTTTTGCACCCTTCAATGCGCAACCTACAATGTGATATGATCGGTACTGATCGAGCACTTCTTTCTCTTCTTTATGGATGCTGTTGAGTGCTCATTGAGTTGCCACTCCTTCCAGTTCTACTAACATATCTGCGAGTGATCTTAGGTTTTCATCACAGGTATTCATCGGGGTTTTGTAGATTAAAAAATGTTTCACGCAAGAGAGTACTGTTGTAACGTTTGATGCAAGCGGGATGGGTCTTGAATTATCTGGAACGAGGTCAAATCAGTGAGTATAGTGCGAACTTCTCCCTCAGTTCTTCTCCCATATGGAACCAAAAAGATATGATTGCTGTCACTAACGTGCGTTATCACAGATACTTTCACAAATGCTGTAAACGACATGTGTGCTAGTGATTTCTACTCTACATAAGAAGAACGTTGAAAGTTAATATTTGCCCAGTAGTTACGGAATATTTACAAAATACAGATATCGCTTAACCTAACACCAGAACATGTCCAGAAATGTGGAAATTTCCTTGTAGGCTTGGCCTTATTGTACAAGTTTTCACACTTTTTATTTTCCATAAAGTAAATTCATCAGTTTAAATTTTTTCGATGCAAGCTAGCACAGGCGTTAGTGATACCATCGATCGGGACACAAAGACACTAATTCGACCCTCTCACTACGGCTGTCCTTTGATACACATGGGAGCGCCTTAGCCTACTACCATTTTCAAGACCGCAAGCAGAGTCCACTGGATTCGCATTTTACGACATTCGTAAAGAGGAGGAAATCCTCAAGCAGCAGCAGAAACAGCATGCAAACCGCTTAAAGACCATTG